GATAATGACAGCAGCATGTTATTAGTTCAATCTGAAAAAACTCACACGACGAGAAAAGACAATTAGGAGAAATGTATGGATACAATGACTTAGTCTTCAGCGCTCAGACCTCAGCAGGAAACAAAGCGCTTAATTTTGATAGATCTGCATGAACAGGAGTAAAGAACTTTAGTAAGTTAAAGATAGAAATAAGTAATTTTAGCACCATAATTACATTATTTATGGACACCAAGATGTATCTTGGTGTCCATGCGCAGGACGGATCGGGTAGGGACAGAGGCGTGTGTTGTGCGTGTAAGTGTGGATATACAAAATACTGTCCTTTATTGACATTGGGAAAAACTAGTTTGCTTTACTTTTTGTGTGATGCGTTTCAACATATGTATTTGGTCAAATAAATGACAGAGCCAAGCGCTCATCGTTAATCAACTAAATAAAAATGGATACATTATAGAGGCACATTTGCCAGGTCCAATGTAGTTTGTTCGAGTAAACATCGCAGAAGTTCAGCGCTACATAATTAAACATGTCTGTTTTCCCCCAAAATAGCAGATACACAGACCTACTGAATGACCTGCAGAGAGCTGGGACCAAAGTAACAAAGGCTACNAGCGAATGTCGGTGATTTTAAAGTAATTTTGAGTGATAAATAATTTCTTTTTGGCGATCATTGCACTTGCCTGGCGGGCAAATGCAATGAAATTGCATTGCATTGAAAAAATGGCGAAGCGGCTCTCACAGCTTCGCTTTCGGCGAAAAAGTTGAGAAACACGATGCTAAGCCCTGAGTACAGAGCCGGGCAGTTCCCTCATGACTTTTACGTATCAGGTGAACTATTGTTTTGCAAGTTTCTTCAACATTCCATTGACTGGAAGCGCAAAAAAACATACATAAAATGGAAAAAACGGAATTTTCAAAAATTAAAACGGGGGCCTAATTAAGGTTGCACCTCAACCAGGATATTGCAAGTGTCAGTCATTCTTCTGCAGTAAAAGTGTCATTAAATCCTAGATCAATGCAATCTGGTGATGCTTATGCTTCTTGTAGTTAAAAAACACAAAATCCAAACAATCTAGAGCTCAGTCTCAAAAACGACTATATTTTGACTTTTGAAAAAAGGATAGCAAATTATAATTCAGCCACTAAGACTTAATTATTCAATTCAAGGTTTAGAGACAAAACTTGTGCAATACAAATATCAACATATCTCTAAAATATTTTTTTTCTAGGACAAGAACCAATATGAAGTCCTGTCTCTCCTGGCAAGTGAATTTGATGAATGGGGGCAAATCTACCCTCTACTGAGCCACTTGGCAGCAGTAGCGCTGCTCATCCCATTTTCCTGCACAAACTGTGAGAGAGACCTCTCCATCATGAATCGGGTAAGGCAACATGGCAGGACTAGAGTTGCTAATTGGTGTGCCTAATATTTAATCCACTTACAGGGAACTGTATACATAAGAATACTAGGCTTAAAAATGTATGTTCCACAGGAAACTCCTGCTTTTTAGGTGAAATCAGATCTCTGCAACCAGCTTCAGGAGGAACACCTCGCTGCATGCTTGAGGATCTCAATTAATGGACCCAGCCTCAAGAGCATGGAGGAGATTCCAGGAGACAGGCAGTTACTCCAGGAGAGCTGGAAAGGGGTCGTAGAAGGTCTACAACCCATCAGCAGGACGGGTATCTGCTCCTTTGTGCAAGGAGGAGCGGGAGGAG